ACCACTTATAAATTTATGTTCACCTTCATCTATTTATTTTAATTTAAATAATTTAATGAAAAAATTTAAAAAAAAAAAAAAACCTGAATAAATAAAAGAAATTGATTTAACAGGAGCAGTATGTCCTGGAAGACTAATAATATGTTCTCCTTGATTATTCCATAAATGAAGATTAGTATCATAAGAAGCAACTAATATTGAATCACCTAATGATCGACAAGCTGATACCCAATCATCATGCATTAATGCATCTTCGGGTTGTGGTCCTTGAAATTTTTCAATATATTCAATTGAAATAATTGATTCAAGTAATGATTCATCTTTTTCTCGTATATGTTCTTCTAATGATGAACGAATTAATTTATTAATACATAAAAAATCAAATGAAATACGAGATAATTCAGTTGAAGATACTAAACAAATAATTATATATTTATTATATTTAAATAGAAATTAAATAAAACCTGTGGATTTTAATAATCCTTTTAAAATAGCTTCTAATTGAGAATTAGTTGATGATGATGGAATAACTAATGTTGTATCAGGAACTGAATATCTTAATAATATAAAGTTTAGTTTTTATTTTAATACTATATATCTATATACTTGTCTAATTTAGTTTGAAATTTAACTTGAATAGACATCTGAAATAAATGAAAGAAAAGAAGAAAATATATATCTTATTTATTTAATAGATATTGAAATGATTTTAATATCATCTAAAGGTTTGTCAAGTCGATCGGTTTTCGCTTGAGAAATTTTTTCTACAACATCCATTCCTTTTGAAACTCTTCCAAAAATAGTATGTTTATTATCAAGCCATGGAGATGGAACAACAGTTATAAAAAATTGTGAACCATTTGTATTTGGTCCAGCATTTGCCATTGAAACAGTATATGGACGATCATGTTTTAGTTGAGGATGATATTCATCTTGAAAATCTTTTCCCCATATTGATTGACCACCCGTACCATTTCCTAATGGATCACCTTTATAAAAAAAAACAAAAGAGAGAATAATGAGATATACAGTAGTGGCCAAAAGTCCCGACCCTAGGTGAAAACTATCTAAATAATGGTTGTTTACTTTGAAACTTGTACTGAAGCAAGGTCTTGGTGAGTCCTGATCCTAGGCAAAAACTCGAATCTTGTCCCTTTACTGAAACTGAGATATCAGGTCAACATCAAGAATTTTTTTCTTCATATTTTTGACAAAATTATGTGATATTCGAAGGAAATGCTGGTGCTTTTCGATTTTCTGAAGTAAAGGTAATATTTTTAGTGCAATAGGTAGTTCTGATGGTGGTCTACCCATACCAGAAAGGCCACTTAGATTTGCCGTACCCTAGTGAATTCCCAGAGCTGTCGGTCCAGAGGCATAGAACGATATGAATCTCCATCTCTGTAAAGGCTATAATGCTGAAAGTTTTAGCATAGGTTTGCCCATACTTATGCAGTCTACAATAAAATTTTCAGGCCGAACGGCTGAGCTTAGCTCGAGATTTGAATTGAATACTGGTAGGGTTGCAATATGCCAGTTTCGTGTGTAAGCAGTATATAGGCCACAACTTAACGAAGACATGTCGTTTTGTAATGAAAATTTTACTGAAGAGAGACTAAGAGCGGGACTTTCCAACGATAGGTCGAGCAGTATTGTATCTCTTTCCTAGTCCTAGATAACACAATAAGAAAAAAATCCTTGATGTTGATCTGATATCTCAGCTACAGTTAAGGGGATAGAACTCGACTTTTTGCCTAGGATCAGGAATCGCCAAGACCTTGCTTCAGTACAAGTTTCAAAGTAAACAACCATTATTTAGATAGTTTTCACCTAGGGTCGGGACTTTTTGCCACTACTGTAATATATAATTAACCTGTTTGAATCATAAATTGTTTAATAACACGATGAAATATACAACCATTATAATAAGATTGTTTTGAATGTTGAATAAAATTTTCACAAGTTTTGGGAACATATTCGGGAAATAATCTAATATGTATATCCCCATATGTTGTATGAATAATAGCTGATTGAGATAATGATGATAATGCTTGTTCTTCTGTTGCTGTTAAAATTTCTTCACGTGATGGTTTTTCATTATAAACATCTCGATCATTATCATGTTCAGTTCGATTGTCTAAAATTAAATCAATATAATAAATAAAAAAAAATTCAAATATTACCTTGTGGATTATTTCTTGTAAATAAATAAAATCTATTTTTTTTAAAAGCCGTTGCAAAAAGAATAGTTGGATTAATATTATCATTTGATGATTTTTGAGATTGATAAAGTGCTAAACGAATAAATCTCGCATTTTCGGTTGTACCAAAAAATAATTTAATAGAATTATTTCGAATATTTAACATTTTAATTCCATATAATGTTGAATAAAAAATAAATGTTCCTGATGAATCAAATTGAATATTAATTAATGAATAAATAGAAGAATTTTTTTCTAAATCTTTTTCAATAGTTAAACGTCTTGAATATTCAACATTATTTAATATATTTAAATTAAATTTTTTTTTCTCATTATCATTATCATCATGATGATGATCTTCTTCTTCTTCTTGTTGTTTATATTGTAAACGTTCATGTAATTGTTTATATATATCAAAATGTTCATCAAAGATTTTTAATATTTTACCTTTTAATGTATTAAAAAGAAATAATTTTTTTTCTAATAAAGATTTACCAAATAAAGCAAATAAATCTCCATTTTTATTAAATTCTAATGCAATTGGAATTAATTTTCTTTTAACTAATTCAAATAAATCCGTATCTAATTTTGATTTAAATAATATATTATTAGGTAAATATTCAATATGTGTTGGTGACCAATAATTAATAATTGATGTTTGATCACATGATATAGCTAAATCATATTCAGATGAATAACTTATTATTGTTACTGATGAACCATGACCAATATTTGATAAGATTTTTAATGGTTCTTTTATATTTAATGTTTTAGCATCATATATATATATAGAAGATGATTGACTATCTGATATAGCTAATTTTGATAACGGTTGACGAGATGAATCAACAAATGAACAAGTTAATGGTTGAATATCTAATTTAACCATTGTTATCATATCAAATGATAATACATCAAACATTTTTAATGTACGATCAGAACATATTGAACATAATAATGTTCCAGATACATTTACACACATTGATAATATTGGACCTTAATTTATTAAATATAATTTAATAAGATAATTAAAATAACAAATATTTACCTAAATGAGCACGAAAATGTTTAACAAATTGAATAGGAAATGGAATTAAACAATTATTTTGTTCTTGTTGTTCATCATTTGTTTTTGATGATTGATTTGTTGCAACAGCTGTTTGTTGTTGTTTTAAATAATCAGATGTTAAAATTTTCCAAAATTTAATATGACCATCTTGTGAAGCACTTATTAAAAAATCCGTTACTGTTACAATAACATGTGTAACAATATCTCTATGCATATAAGATCTTTCATAATATTGACTTGATGGTAAAAATGATGCATAAAAATTATCTAATTGTGATGAACCATGAACTTTTTCTTTTCGATTTAATTCAATATTTGAACTTGAACAAAATTCATTAATTAATTCTTTTTCAACATCATCTTTATCTCGACGACTTCGTTTTGGTGTTGTTGAAGATGAACCATGAATAGAACTTGATTCATTTCTTTTACGATCAATATTTTTAACTTCATCATCATTTTCTTCTCGACGAAATTTTTCCGACATTTTTTGTTTTTTTTTCAAGATAAATTATTTTATGAATTGAAGACAAAGAGAAAAAGATCTCCGCCGAATAGAATAATATTTATTAAAATGAAATATTCTTGATTTAATCCAATCAAATATATTTTCTATAGAACTAACAAAAGAGGACACTAGTTTATTTATATTCTTTTTATTCAATATTTTTCTCAAATCAATATTAAAATAAAATCTATGACTCAATATATAGTTTGCAGTTTTTTTTTAAATTAATCAATTTAATAAAATTGAATAAATTCGTATTTCTTTCTTGATCAAAAAAATATTCTGTCTTTAAATCGTGTTTTTTTAAAATTCTAAGTGTTAATTAATTAACAAATAAATGATCTAATGTTATTATTCGTCCAGGTTCGATGATGATTTCAATGAAGATTTTGTCAGATTAGTTCCCTTTCATATTGTCATGTTTCTTTTTTCTTTTGTTTTTGATGACGTCAATTACTTATCTATAATGCATCAACAGAGTTAAATATTCGATCATTAGACTATCTGATATTTCAGGGATCATTATATTTCTCTCTCTACTTTTCTCTTAACGAAATGCAAACAAAAAAATATCTAAACTCATTTATTTGACGTTCGTATTTTAATAATGATTATTTGAAAAGTCTCTCATAGAGAAACAAGCTGATTTCTCATTCTACGAGATAGAATTATAAAAACATTAATAGCTATTTTACAATGATTCAAATCTTATTTAAAAACAGCTAGAAAAAATAGGCAATTGAAATATCATTTAATGTTTTTATACAATCCACAGAAAAAAATTATGAGTAAGATCTCGGTGAAATGTGATCGATATTATTGGAACTGTGATATTAAATACTATCATTTTTTAAAGCGCAATTTGTTGGTTGTCATCATGGTATCTAATTCTGCAGTTTTTACAGTCGATATGCATCTTCTGGTTACTTGTTTTTACACCCTCGTTACAGTAAATATTCATGAATGAGAAAATGCGTAAAGATAACGAATATGTCCTACCCAACTATTTCTAATAGAATAATCCTAATTTAATATGCAAATGCTAAAGGAACTTAAAGTAATGGGATTTATGAAAGTTCACTACATCACTTCTTGATAGATAGCTCACCTAACTATTAACAAATTGCAGGTAGACATGACACATTCTCAATTAGGTGTGTTGCTCTAGTACAGACTGATGGAAAAACTGTATACTATCACAGTAAAATGCAATCATGAGAATGATACTATTTTTTATGTTTTTAGAAACTACCACTTACCACGTGTTAAAAATATCGTGGTTAATAACGGTATTGAAAAGCTGAATAAATGGTCTATCGATTGTATCTGATAAAAATCGACTAAAGCCGAGGTTTGGTATATCACAGTTGTCCGGAATTGTTTTAAGAAATATTGTTCTGTGAAAAAGACTTTCGTTTTCAGACGTCAATGACACTAAAGAGAAAAAGACATGAAAATCTTTAGAATTCAGTATTCTTCAAAATAAATCTTCTATTAACTTTGGAGCATTCATTCGTCGATCGTGCAAATGAAATGTGTAAAAATAATTGTTCTAACAAAAACATGCTATTTTACAATCTAGTTTATCGGAATAACGAAGAAGAAGAAAATACAGCATAGTTATTCAACTTTTCTTTTTGTTTTTCATATACTCTATTTTACTTGATTTAATTATTTATTTCGATCGAGTGTGTGAAGGTGTGGAAGAGCAAATGAATCATTTGTGACAGTGGTTATGATGATTAAATATTATTGATTAGTTGTGTCGTCAATATTTGATAAAAAGTGACAGTTGAAGTGATTAGGATTAGAATTATATTACCAACATGAAATAAATTTCGACGAATATTTGAAATTTCTATGTAA